TGTGTATCCGGGTAGATCCGATCACTGCAGAGGGGCCGGATAGGGGGGCGCAGTATGCAAATCTCGGGGGCAGTGTCTTTCTTGTATTTTGCAATAAAAGTTCGAACCTCCGGAGAGGGAGCCGAGTGTGTGATCATCGGAGCAACTACCGTCGTTCGCTCTCAGAGATCTGCTCCCGCCGATAATGAAGACAATTTTCCTGTGTGCTGAGTCATTTCTTTAACTATGTCTGAGAAAATCTCTGACACTTGTTCCACCATTCATGTGACCAACCTTTTTGAAAGGCAAAGTCAAAATGAAAGAGTAAAACAATGTGGCTGTTCAAGTGTGCATACCTTCTTATAGCTTGGGATGTGGCTGTTAAATTTATTCGAGGTTAATCACAGGCACTTGACATGGTGGCAGGTCTGTGATGTGTACATGAGTTTGAATTTGTTTGGTTGATTCTGAACACAGCCACATCCACTTATAGGAGGGTGTGCATAGTGGAGTTGTGGTAGAACCACATTATTTCAGTTGCATCCGTTCGCTTTCTCTCTTGGAATTACTTTGAATACAGTTGCAATGTTCAGGTTATAGGTAACGTCATTGGTGAAAAACGTAAAAGAAAAAAAAAGAGCTTATTCTGAGTTGTTCATGTCACAAAAAAAGAAAAGGCATTTAAATAGTATAGAATAGAATGGAACTTTTTTTCTATTTTCACTGTCACCAAAACGATGAATATCCATTAGGCATCTCAGTCCCCTCGCCCCGCATGTGAATTAAAAATGAATAAATAAATAATGAGGACATTAAATTGTTTTCCACCTCAGCTCTCTGGTCCGTGCTTTATATTGATTTTCTTGTTCGATTCGATCTTGTTTATTTCAATTAAAATAAGTGAATGTGCCTATTTCCTTATTAAATACGTGGACCGGAAGGGTGGCTTCGAGAAGCAGTGCGCCCTCACAGTGCCTCTCGTGACAACACACTCATCTGATCTCATTTTTGTCGGGGGCCACATTGTCGTTACGGTTTCCCTTCGGAGGGCCGTCATGACTGTGAATTTTGTAAAACCATATAAATGTTGAACCACCTCCACGTATTATACACACAGCGGACAACAAATTGATGGGAGAGCTTGTTTTAAAATCATAAGTCAAGAGTAATGGCTTGTTCAAATATTGTCATTATGGATTAGATATGACAATATGAAATTTTTGGTTCAGACTTTAGCAAGCATCATGGAAGTTGGCATGCTCGATTTGCTTTCGCAGGCCACATAAAATGGTGTGGCGGGCCAGACCTGGCCCCCGGGCCTTGACTTTGACACGAGAGTTGGAGCATGCCCCGTTTGCTGTCTTTCTTCATATCGCTAATATACATTATAAATCACACGTACTGCACACGCTGAGGTTTAACACTCTGTCTAAGATAGTTCATGAATGAATGTGTTTGACATATTGTGTCTTTCTGATTGGCCAGATATGTGAGTGCAAGTGCACTGTTGAGCTTGGAAAGTCCTGTGCCGCTTTGACAAGTGCCAGTGCTTCGCTCCATATTGGCGCAATGGGTCAAAGAAACATAGCGCTCTTGGATGAGGCCTTTTTAAAATGATTGTTATTTATTGAACATTTTGCAAGGCATTGAGATTGTCAGGCACTTCATGTACAAGTGAAGCTTAGACCCTATGCTATTTTAATTTGAAAAACAATAGATTCTCACAAAAAATACATTTGGCCTTTTATTAAATGTTCTTTAATTTTTCATGCTATCACATTATTAAGCAGTGTTGAATTGACTGAAGCATAAATCAAAGCTTTGAAAGTAAAGTAAAATGCATGATAACTTGTTTCTACTAGACATAATCCATAACTTCCTGCTTCTCCAAACCAATAACCGATATCTTTAATATAATACACAGGATATGTATGCGGCCCGGCGGGCCAGTGGTTAGCGCAGGGGTCGGCAACACGCGGCTCCAGAGCCGCATGCGGCCCTTTAGCGCCATCTAGTGGCTCCTGGAGCTTTATAAAAAAATGTTTGTAAATGGAAATAGATGTGGCAGGGAAATTATGTTTTTGTTTTAAATAAGGTTTGTGTTGGAGTAAAAACATGACACAAACATTCTTAATGTTTCCCAATTCTGTAAAAAATGTGTAGAATAAATATTACATTTCAGCATTTCTGTCAATGAAGATTTGCGTCATAGACTGCGACACACGTTTCTATTAGCAGGGCGGGATACAAGGCGGCTGTTGCAAAAAAATAAATACATGTGCATTTCATGTACAATTCACCGAGGGTACTGGCAAAGAGAATCTGGAGGGCCGTGAAAAGCATTTTTAAAACGGTTCACGTGAGCTATGATAGTCAAAAACGCTGCAAAAATGCGTCCAATGCCTCCGCGTCAGATCTCGACGAAAGTAGGTAGGCATGCGTCCCTAAGTGTGTTGTGTATGCGCTGGTTGATCTCGGTAGGTTGGTTGAACGAAAAGTAGATCTTAGGTCAAAAAAAGTTGGGCACCCCTGCTCTACAGAATGCACTGCATGGAAGAAAAACATTTAATCGTGAAGGCTCGTGTAATTGTAGCAAACTTAGTCATTTTGATAGTAGGCTAATACAGCTCATATAGATATAGATACATGTTGCAGCAAAAAAAGGAGAGCTGTGGTGTTGGTTTTTTAAAACGTACACTTTATTTATGCTTTTAATAGTCTCGACAAACACAGACACGTCTGCGTCCGACTCCGTCCCTTCTCTCCTCTCGTTCGACTTGAGAGGCGTTCAAAGACAGCCTCCGAAAAACATAAATTAATGATCACTTCTACACTAAGAACACACTAAGAAAAGTGATAATAATACACCAAAACAGAAAATCAAGCAAGGAAATCACAAAATAAATTCTATGGGGGCGTTTGTGAACACACAACAAAGGAACGAATAACATAAACAATTCTGAGACAGTCCAGTCTCCTACATACATACAGCATGTGTTTGCTTCATTGTAAGTTTTATAGAAGGCTTTTATTTTTTTGCGGCTCCAGACATATTTGGTTTTTTTTTGTTTTTTTTGTCCTATATGGCTCTTACAACATTTTGGGTTGCCGACCCCTGGGCTGGTGCGTCGACCTCACAGTGCAGAAGTACCGTGTTCTATCCCAGCTCTGGCCTCCCTGTGTGGAGTTTGCATGTTCTCCTGGGGCCTGCGTGGGTTTTCTCCGGGTACTCCGGTTTGCCTCCCACATTCCAAAAACATGCATGGCAGGCTGATTGAACACTCGAAATTTTCCGTTGATGTGAGTTTAAGCGCGGATGGTTGTTCGTCTCTGTGTGCCCTGCGATTGGTTGGCAACCAGTTCCGGGTGTGCCCCGCCTACTGCCCAAAGACAGCTGGGATAGGCTCCAGCACCCCCCGCGACCCTTGTGAGATAAAGCGGATTGGAAAATGAATGAATGAATGAATATACCTATCTATCTATCATCCATCCATCCATCCGTCCGCCCACCCAAAACCTCCCCATCCAGCCCCCCCGTCCATCTCTCTATCTCTCTCTGTCCTTCCATCCATCCACCCCTGCAGCATGGTGCTAAGTGGTTAGCATTTCTGACTCACAGGATTTGAATTGTGAGTGCTCAGGCTTCCCACGGCATTCCAAAACCATGCATATTAAACAACCATAAAACAGAAAGGACTTGAGAAATATGTAAAAATAAATATATTGATTTTTATTTGATTGTTTGATTTTTTTCATTTAGTATGGATTAATCGAAAAGTAAATCAAGTATTCAAATTACATTACTCTATTATAGTACTTGGATTACCTGACCAAATACATTTTTTAACAGGGAACTGTATCGGAATACATTTTAATGTAACCTTCCCAACCCTGGTTGTATGTTTAAAGAATGATTGTTGTCCTGGATTTGTATTGAACTGGGACCTATCAAATGAATTGCCCGTATGGAATAAATAAATGTATTAATTCCTTTTTCATAATGAATTTGTTAATACGAAGAGCATAATCTTTGCAAGTAAGTGTCTAATGCGTGTATAATGCCATATATTTTGTGTGTCTAATATGTTAATCTCATAGACATGTTGTACTGTTCTGGAATGTTCCCCCTAATTGCCTGAGCATTCACATCAAGTCCCTGAGAATTTCTTGGCCCACGGTGATAACATGAGACATGCACACGGTGGCCAAACCATTATCTCTAAACCTGAGATCATAACACGTTACATGAAGTAGGTATGTTACAAAAAATGTCACACCACTTTTATATTGAAACAAAGGATATCATTGAATTGTGAATATTGTGACATGAATAAAATTCCTTCTAGTTGGTAGAATTGGTTAAGAATTCATGCCACGTTTTATGTTGTAAATTGGTCCAAATTGAAATCAATGTACGTAAATGGTAAATTTGTGATAATAATAAATGTTACAACATTAAAACTATAATCAATGGGAGTGTGATACAGTATTAGTGATGCTTTTATCACAATATGTGAGTATAATAGTGCTTGAAAAAGTAAACTTAATGTTGCATAGTGTTACTACTATTTTACAAGAACTGTTGAGCTGTAACTTGTTGTATAATCAACTTAAAGAAGGATCTTAAGGAAAAAAGGATACTTTTCTAAAATTCACACTTTTCAAACGATGCTAAACAATATTCAAAAATTTGATGGTGAATATTAATTGACTAATTTAAGACGATCATTGTACCAAACTTTAAACGCTGTCGAGTGTAGGTTATTCAAAATGTTGGCTTGTTCTGCACGTTCTCAATCAACAAAGGGTGCTCTGTAAATGGCCGGGGACTCCCGGTTCAAAATGGTGGCTGTGTTTGCACGTCATGAATCAGGAAAGGCTCTACCGTATCTGTTAATGTGCCCCGTTCTCCCGGTTCAAAATGGTGGATGTGTATGCACGTCGTCAATGAGGAAAGGTTCCTCTGGCTGATGTCACGAAAGCGACTTGCCAGATCCTCGACTCTGATTGGCTCTGGCATTAGCCAATGAGAGAGAAGAGCGCCAGATCGGCGGGGAGAAAACATGGAGGACAGGGTGAACAGGACCAGTACATTTTCTTAAAGTTGCAAACAGTCAACTACATAGTACAGAAGATGGTTACAAGGCACGGTCAGTCATAGAAACTGTGAGCGTCGTAGCGCGACCTAAATTAAAAGGTTTTAGAAGCAGCAAGTCCATTCAGTAGTTTACTGAAATGTCACTGAGTGCTTCGCGTGACCGTGTCTCACAGAAAAGAATTGTGTCGAGACTTCTCGGTGAGTAACAAGCAACTTCATTGTTACAAATCCCCGTAGCCTGAGAATGTGGTCAAAATCAATCTTGGAGTAGGCTAGACAATAACCACTATGACCAGTTGTTTGACATTCGGCGTGGTCTCTTTAAAAAAAAAAATCTTACTCTTTCTGCGATAGGGATGACTCAATAAACTAACGTGTGACCCAGATCAACAGTAAAGATCTTTTAAAAATATGCTCCCAAATAAATTGAAATGAGCAATTACGTCATATTGTCAAGTTTTATTGTGTCAGCACCATACATTTTGAACATCTGGAAAATGTCAGCGCATGTTGTGGCTCATTTGGCTGCTTACATTCCCAGCTGGTCGTGTTGTAAAGAGACAGAAGCAAGGAGATGGTCAGCTGCAGGACGCAGCGATCCAGCTGTTCGAGCAGCAGCAGGATCTCTGCAGCCTATTCAAGGAGATTGGGGTGAGTGACTGGTGTCCATAAGAAGTTCATAATATTAAACATTAAAATGGGTGATAAGAAATAGTCATCTTTTGTGGTTCTGGTTTTTGTTTGTGTGCTTGAGACACGTTCAGACATGTGACATGTAGTTACTATTGTTTTTCCAGAATCCAGATCCAAGCAATCCTTTCAACACTGACACAGCTGAGCAAATGAATCGGACTGAAGGCATCTCATTCACTATTGCAGGTTCACTTTTGGGTAAGACTTATGTTTCTTGGCTTGGCATAATTTAAAAATGTTTTTATGTGACATAGGCCTGCACAATCTATCAGAAAAATATTGTTATCATGATAATGACCAGTGCAATGTGCGTGTAGCAAAGACTTTCAGTCAATTTCATATGGAATTGTCTGCTTTTATCTGACTTTGACCTATCAGATGCAACCTCAAATGCGCATCGCCATCCAATAGGTGAACAGGATCAAGGCACAAAATAACTAATGATTAACATTCAAGTTACTATAATTAATTAGCCAATAATACATTGCTCCTTCTAATTTTGCCGCATGTTAAATATTGCAATAATATCTATCACAATATTCAACACCTGCATTGCATATCGCATGGTTTCCCAATACAGTGGTACCTCTACTTATGAAATTAATTGGTTCTGGAAGAAATTAGACTAGAAAACTTTCTAAGTAGACGTGTTGTCCATGTAAATGCCCTAATGCATTCCAAGCCTCCCCAAAATTCAGACATAAATGTTTTGTCAAGCATAAAAATGCATCAAAATATGTAACAAATACATTTTACAATTACATTATTGCACAATAAATGAAAGTTGTGCATAATGTAAAAAAAGAATAAACCCGTCATTGTTTTTTGTTCTCTTTAGTTCATGTTCTCTCTCAGAAGTGGTTTTTGCCCGGCGTTTTGTAAAGCACTCTTTTTCAAAACCTGTGCCGCGGCACACCTGAAAATATCTGGTGTGCCGCGGGAAATTATACAATATGTATGCCTGTGCGGTCGCTCGCCTGGAAGAGTAATCATGTAGTACTCTTCCATCATGGTAGGGAGCAGCAGCAGCTAGGAAATTGCCTTATGCTTCGAGACAAAGCGAAGTTTCCGACGGGAGGCCATTCAGTGAAAGGTATCTTTCATTTGGATTTATGTTTACTGGAGATGCACCAATGTTCCCTCTAAGCTGCGCAAATGCGCACTGGTCGCACACTCTCAGCGCACAAGAAAACCTTTCCAGCGCAGTGAACACACTGCAAATGAATTAGATATATAGCTTTTTTTTCTGTATCAATTTGCTGTGTAATTCAGTGAGTGACAGATGTCCAGCCAATCACACGATATGATGCAATGACGCTTTGCAGGCAATCATGGCATTGACAGTACTTGCACATGTTCTCTGCTGCATAACAATAACAGTGCGGCGGCGATAAGTGACGCTAATGCTAATCCTTTATCATGACGAAACGACCGGGCAGTGAACGTGATACATCGACTCCCCAAACCAACATAAGAATGAACTGCGGTTCTTTTAAGTTGGAACGGCTGTCGGAGTATGTGCAAATCGAAGAACAAGCGGTGAAACTGGGTGACATATTTTCTTTTTCGAGTGAGAAAGGTATGCTCTGCAAAACATGCAGCAAAGCTAAAGTTGCAAGCGAAAAATACGGACTAAATGGAAGCTAGACTACCTTAAGCGACATATTCAGCAGAAAAGTCATTTGAATGATGTTGGGATTATACAAAGACTCAAGATGGGAAAAGGGATTGGTAAAATATTGTGGGAGAGTGCAAACGACCGGGAGAAAAAGAACCGGCTGTCACACAGAAAAAAAATCCGACCCTGATCAAGTTAAAGTTCTAATTGACTATATTTTACTTGCCATTAAAACGAATGCACCACATATTGGATTGATGTTGATTTGATTCCTATTCAATGCGTTATAATATTGCGTTAATTTTCAATGTTAAAAAAACAAACAAAAAAAATGCCTATAGTAACAATATAATACTTAATTGTTAAAATACGCTTTTTTTTCACATTTTCAGGTAGTGGTGTGCCGCGGGATTTTTTCAATGAAAGAAATGTGCCTTGGCGCGAAAAAGATTGAAAAACATTTTTGTAAAGAACTGAGCAAAGGATGTCTGCTTTTGTCGGCTTTTAACAATCCTTCGAAAATGTCCAAGGCAAACATCAGCAGAGTGAGCGATCGCCCGACTGATGAACACTTTTTCTGGGGATTCACATTTACGTAAAACTATCAGAACACCTCATGGCCCGAGAGGCGAATGACGAAGACGCTGCATCAACACATATCTATCTACACACATCGACACATTCGGTAGAGGTTCCTCTTAGCTAAAGGGATGCCAGGAAAATGCTTGGTAATAGCCAGTGGCAGAGCAGCTACAAGTATGTTGCGTGCAGGAAACTCGGAGCTGCGACTAGCTGACCAAACTGTATTTTTACCTTTCGTATCTTGAATTTTCTTTCATAACAAGACGCAATATTTTCCTGTTGAGGTTTTTCGTAACTTGAAAATTTCGTATGAAGAGACCTTCGTAAGTAGAGGTACCACTGTATCGTGGTGCCCTAAATTATGATGCATGATTCAGCTTCTAAATAACGTTCTCTTCACTTGAAAGTTGCAGAATTGATCCTCAGTTACTTCACAGCCTTGTTAAAGCATCCTTGGACCAAGTCCACTATTGTGTAAATAGGTTGTCATGAATAAAGTGTTTTGGAAAAGCACAATACCAGTGTGTTAAACAAACATAATGGGTGTGATGCCTCTTGTGATTGAGTTTTCTCTTCACAGCGTGTGGGTTGAGACAGCAAGCTGGGCAGCTTGGTGTCCCGTTAGTAACGCTCTCAGTGAAATTCGTGCTGGAGAGACTGAAAGGGATTACTGGAATTGAGGGCGACAAGACAAGGGAAGTTCTCACGGCATCTCAGAGAGTTGGTATTTTTATATTTATTATTGTCTGGTCATTCATCACTGCAGTATTTTGGGTCATTAAGTAGAATTTCATGAAAGGGGAAGTTAACCCAAAAATTGTCTTTACAATAATATGTTCTATGCAGCCTTACTAGTATACAAACAGGCCATTCTCTTCAATAGTGTGTTTGTGCAATCTTAAGCCCCGTTCACACGGCAACGTTTGGTCCGACGCTGCGCCAGTCGAGCGTTCACACGTGCACATTTGCTCCGACGTAGCTCCACTAAAGAGCTTATACCGGACTAAATTTGATCCACCTCAGGGAGGTGGTTTAAAAATTTGCTCCAGAGCAAATGCTCGTTTGCGACGCTACGCCGGAACAAATGTGCACGTGTGAATGCAGCTGGGTTAAATTTGCTCCAGAGCAAATGCTCGCTTGCGGGGGAGTGGCCTCGCTACGCTCGCTACCAGATGCACGGAATCCGACCCCGGTCGAGAGTGACGAGGGGGCCAGCGACACAGACGAAGCCCGGCCATGCACCCCCGTTCCCGGTAAAAGTGTC